TATATATATATATATATAAAACCTAAAAAAAATTTCATTTCACATCCTCCACTTGCGAAATTTGAAAAGACTTGGTAACCTATGTCAAGCAGCAATCAAGTACAAAGGTTGTAACTAGAAGAGATAATGTTTGCTTTACTTCCTTATTTACTGTTCTATGTTTAAGAAAAATAACTTTAAGAACTTGTTTCTAAATAGTAATAATCTATCTACATATATAATGTAAAATAATGGAAATGTGACTATTTTACAAAATACTAGTTTACTAAAACACAGCCAAGACAGGTCACTTTGTAAGTACTAAAGGTGAGTTTTATAATATTTGATGCGGTAACATGAGATCGCATGTGGTTCATCATTGTAATTTCTGTATTGTTAGCCAGGCACAGCTAAAAGGCCAATATAATAAAGATATATATAAATGTATAATTTATGAGATGTAGGCTATTTATTCTACACATTTATGTTTTCATGTTATAATTTGTTGTTATTCTAGAATGAAAGAGGCGTAATTTATATTTATTTCCTAATTTTATGGTGGTCACAAGATTGGTCAAATTGTCTGAACCCAAACAGAGATTTGTTAGTGAAAATAACAGATAAAATATAAAGTTTCTCTTAATAAACAGTTGATAACTATCTGGACATTATAAAGATTTCGCATGTGAAAGTTCAAAATTTTCTGATGCATAGAAGTATTTTGAATCTTAAAATGAAAATTACTTTGCATTTTGGATAGACAACATGCAAAAAAAAAAAGACAGGCATGAAAAAAACATTGCTTAACAAACCTTAAGACTTAATAAAAAAAATTTTATATTTTATGTATGAAAGCATTGTAATGTTTACTGATAATCGTTAACATAAAATTTTTTTAACATACACTTACTGACTTAAGTTATAGCATGAAAACTACAACAAACACAAAATGATTATAAGGTTGGGTCCAGGGACCGAACTTGTGCTGAAAGTGTTAAATCTCAAACTTACTAACTTTAAGTACTGAATGTGTACACCTTTTTGAATTGTAGTTGTGTGCCACATTAAAATTCATAGTTAATGTTAAAGTGCAATTTTAATTTTACATGCAAAATAGAAAGTATAATGTATTTTCCATGTGAGATTATATGTGCATTAATTGTTAATAACACATCAACCTGTGTGATAATGATCATGCAGTTACTGTGACAGCTTGCTATGTATGGTGACCACAAGTATTACAGAGTCTGTGCTTTTTCTGTGCTTTAATTTTATTGTCAAGAGGGTGATGTTTCTGGCACTTGCTGATGAGCGGGCGAGGAATTTCATGTGTGAGCATTGCCTGACCAATGTGTATTTGAATTGACAGAACTATAACTCTGTGTAAAAATTTGTATTTAATATTAATTATAAATAAAGCTGTTTCTGGTTTTTGTATCCCTAATGTTTGTTTGTTTATTTAGTTATTTCAAAGTTCTCTTCATACGGTTTATGTTAGACCTTCACATGGTGTAGATATTTCATATGGTGTTAATCTTCTGCATCATGTAGTTTTTGTAACTGCTTACCTCTATTTTTCGTGTTTTGTTTTTTTAATTAAAGCTACATTCATAACATACAGTGTTTACTGATATCTTAAGGTTGCTCTACTGATACAAACATTTATGTGTTAGCAATAATTAATTAGACCAGATTTTAAATATAATATATGTGGAATTGATAAAAATGTGTTAAGTACATAAAATTGTACTGCTTTAAAGTAAGCAGCGCACCAATAAAGGTGAGACTCATCAAGTAGTCAAGCTTATTAGTGGGAGTGGTTCATGTTGTTTTAGGTATCATACCAGACAAACTGTCAAATGAGCCAAAGTAGTAGTGTTGTTTTTTCACAAGTGTAAAGATGTCAGATTAAGTTTTATATTATGGTGTTACCATTCACTTAATTCTTTTTTTTTTTTTTGAATTTTGCAAAATGCACTTATAATGGTTAAAAGTTTTATGTTCTTGAAGAAGTAGAAACAGTCAATATGTTATCATTCATCATCTAGTATAACTTGCTGTTGACCACCACTGTAATCAAAATGCAACCACTAATCATCTGACATAGAAGTAAGCATCTCATCCAATCCTAATCACTTTGGTCAGTTCAGTTTCTTAATGATATTCACCTAATGACTAAAGTTATTTCTTAATCATAGCTTGCAAAAACATGAACCATCTCCCCTGTATATGGTGCAAGTTTTATTTTTTTTACTCCATACTTCCTAATAAACAAAGTAACATCTTATGTAAAAAGCTTCTAATAACTATCACAATAATTTTTCAAGTTTAATAAGTGCTAAAACAAAGTTTAAATGTTATCATAGAAATCAGGAATTCATTTTAAAAGCATAGAAAAGACCATAATTACTTTTGTTCTTGCTTAAGGCTGCTGCTGTGAGGTCACTTCTCTCTCTTGTACCATTATTATAATTTCCACGTGACCTCTATTCATGATGTACAAGTCATGAAACATTTTCAAATTTCAGTTTTTATAGTTAGATAGAGAATAACAAATCTCTCATGCTCTGTAATTCTGATATGCTATCTTACCTCCTCTTACAAAAAGCTTTCCTGACTTCTATAGGCACACATTTTTGCTTGCAACTAACATGCAAATGATCATGCAGCAGCCTTTCACCAATAGAGTGCTACACTACCCCTATCTTTACTAGGGCACATGCTAGTCACTTCTCGATTGGCAGTCCCACTGATTAGACATGTTTTTTGCACATATTTAATTAACCTATACACAAGTTGTTACTTTCATGAATTTCTCCCTCAGTTAACCCTCCCTGCATGGGCATTATTACTGTTCTGTAGTAGTATTAGCATTAGTCTGAATTTTGAGTGAAAGGGGAGAAAACTTTAGTAGGAAGTTTTTTCTGCAAGTCTTGAGTAAGAAAGATATATGTGAAGAACTTGAATCAACAATTTCTTTGTCATCCATGGAAAAATATCTGTTTAATTTAGAATTTGCTGCTAAAGAATTGGTAAGAATTTTCAAAAAATATAAAAGAGAAGAAAAAGCTGAAAAGTTACTTTTTTCTTGGAGGGTTGACACAGTGACTCATGAGGCAGTGATCATTTTCCTAATGTTTTGAGGGAGATTGGCCATTGTCGATGCCACCTGACCCAAGTGCGACAGTGAAAGTTGTATCAGGCCAACTGGCTCTCTTTCACCTCTCTGTTGGAACTTGATCCTGCTGTCATTAGTCTTCCATCTATTAACAACTGTGTAGAGGCAGTAACTGATTGCTTCACTCAATCAACTGTTCATTCTATACCCAAATCCTCGACACAGTATCCTTGACCATGGTGCTCTCCAGCCTGCCAGCAGGCATGGAAGGCTCAGAAATAGGCCTGGGATACTTTTTACGGGTATCCCACTCTTTCCAACAACATCACTTTCCAGCGGGCCCATGCTCGGCAGGTCAGATGTCAAAACCAAAAGGATTCTTGGATTAAGTTCACAATTAGCATTTCTTCTATTGCCAGTTCCAAAGTCATATGGGACAAGATTCGTAAGGTCAATGGGAGGCATTCTTCCCATTCCCTTTCCATTTTGCTTTCCAATGGCCAGGAAGGTGCTAATGTACAGAACATCACCGATACTCTCAGTGTGAGCTTTTCTCCTGCATCCAGCACTTCTGTTTCTTCCCCCACCTTCTTGGCCATCAAATCTCAGGTAGAGCGATCACATCTTTCCTTTTGGGCCAATCGTCTCTATGACTATAATTGTCCTCTCACACTGGTGTAACTCAAACTTGCCCTTCATCAGTCTGGTACATTGGTTGGACCTGATGATGTGCACAATGAGAGGCTGTATCTCCTCTCTTGCTATTCTTCTGGTTGTTTTTAACCGGATCTGGTAGGAAAACATTTTGGCTGATGATTGGCGCCAGGCTATTGTCCTCCCTTTCTCTAAGCCTGGGAATGATCCCAAGATTCCTTCTAATTATCATCCAATTAATTTGACTAGCTGTCTCTGTAAGGTCTTATAGAGGATAGTTAATGCTTGTCTTGTTTGGTTCCTCGAATCAAACAACCTCCTCTCACCTACCCAATGTGGGTTCCATCAATAGTTTCATGTTACAATCTGAAGTCATTCTAGAAAGAAAAAAGGTTAATTACCGATCCTGTATAGAGATAGGGTAGAGAAAATAAGATAAAATATAAAGTTTTACTGAAAACAAATGTTTGAAGTGCACTTGAGAGGTTTTAGAGATTACACAAATGAAATTTGAAATTTTTGAGAGTAAGAAATATATTTTTAATCTTAACATGATAATCACTTTGCACATGGACTATTCAAAACAAATACTCAATATATTCATGCACAAATCCTTTTTTAATCTAATTAAAGTATCTTTCTAAAGATATGACTTTTTGTATGTGAAAGACTTATAATGTTTACTGAAAGACTACCAAATTTTGTGAAGATATACATACTATATTAAAAATTAGTAGTATCAAGTCTATAAAGACTTTAAATTAGTACAAAGAGGTCATATGGTCAGTTAAATCAATGGAGCACATGTTGAGAGAGTTAAATACATTTCTTTATTAGAAATAGTAGAAAAAATCTAAATTAAATGTTTTATTTTTCTGAAACTACATATGTTTAGGAATGTTCTGGCTAAATTTTAAACTATTTCATTCAGTAGTTTTATTTCTGGACTAAATATTACGAGTGACATTACTTACTAATAAATTAGTAGCTGGTAGTCATAGGGTTAAAGAATGCTGGGAGTTACTGGACGTAAATAGAACCAGCATAACACTATCACGCTTCCAGTTAGAAGGAATGGTAGAATGATTCAACCACAAAATTGTCAAGTTTAGTGAAGAATATCATATCAGTTGGGATATGAAATTACGGGCATGTTCTACAAATATCATGGATGCTAAATCCAAAAATAATATCCATTTTTCTCCATCATGTACAGATTTTTCACAAAACATCATAATGGAATACATAAAAGAAAGACCACAACACATAGTTTAGAGACTATAAGACGTAGATTTCACAAAAACAAAATCAGGATGAATAATGATGCATATTTGTTTGACATCAGTGTTCTTCCCCTTTCTTCAGTTTGTTAAACTAAATAATAATTTAAGTAAGAGTTTTTCCCCCCCTGATATGTAAAAAAATCTTTGTGATAGAAAAAAAAATGAATATTATTTTCAAAATCTGTGCAACTGAATTATGGAAAATCTGTTATTAAAACCCAAACAACTTTTATGAAGTTTAAATTTACAGGCCTGTGTTATTTCTCTAGCCACATTTCACCTCTGATTTGTTGTGTACTAAAGCTTGGTTGTCCATATATATTTTTCTGCCCATCTCTGTGACACATTGAGCTATTTTTGCCTTCCTCCTTTTATCTGGTCAAAGAGTATACCCTGTTAGAGAAGGATGTGGTCTGCCATGAGTGTTGCCTCTCTAGTAAGACCCCAATATTGGGTGTTACAATTCTGACAACTTCTCTGAAGGGAGCTCATCTAGATTTCCTCTTTTCCACTGATCCCATCACCATGTCAGTGTGGAATTCTACTACTGTGTTTATAGAAGCAAGTGGGTCATTTTGAAAGTTAACATTTTCCCTGCATAAAAATGTATTTCCAATAAATACTTACCTCTTTTCACATCTTCCCACCCTTTCTCCCACTGCTGGTGCACATTTTTCTTTTTTGCCTCCTCTAATATAATTTTGAGTGCAAGTTTTTATGGGGATCTACTGCACATGGAAGATGTGTCACCCTCACATGTAGAGGGCTATTGTTGCAAGATGATTACATCATCTACCAGTGCAGTTCTCATCAAACTACATGCTTTATGTGGAAGATAGTTCAAGACTAGTGGTATTTTCAAAATCTCAATAGCAGGTGTGTGAGAAATAGCTACTATATGCAGAGAGGTAAGTATCTATCAGAAATTCATTTTTCAGGTAAAAAAAATGTTAACTTTAGATTAATTGATTATTTTGGGGATATTAATTGATTTAATCATAATTTCGATTAATTGTTTAGTTTACATGACACTAATCAATGTAATTGATGTTTATACGTAATAGATTAAATAACCCAGATCTTGTGAGAGCACTTCTAGTTTACCTAGCTTTTCTTTCAATTTTAGAATTTGGCTAAACACTACAAACTTTTTCATGGATTCCAGGGAACACAAAGCTGTACCACCATGGAAATTTCTGAATTTGTTTGTTAATGGGTTAATTTTCATTGTACAATGATTGTTTTATATAAAGTTTGTATAAGCAAAGTACTGTAGTATCAGAATTGAAAAAATATATAATTTTATGTTTCATAAATATTCAATGTATTACAAACATGGTTTTACCATGAAAGTTGTGATCAGGTATAGACTGTTCTTAAGCTAATTCAGTTTTTGCTTGATGGTACCTTTAATGGTGAAACTGTTGTCAGAATAGATGAAACAGTTGTGAATCATCAAATTGATTTTGTTTTCCTCAATTCTGTCACTATAGAAATTCACCAACTACTAATGGATACAACTATTCATTACTAAAGTATGAGTGTTATTTGGCTACTTGAAAGTCTAGTGTTGCTATATTAATTTTATATGAAAAAAAAATGATTTAACCAGTCTTCTTAATGTTTAATTAATAATAGCTAAATCCACGTATAAGTGACTTGACATTTCATTAGATCAGTGGAATTGTAGTTGTTCAGTAACTGTACAAATAAATCACAAATGGTGTACTGTAAGTCTGCATTTGTGTTTTTTAATTTAAAATTGAAGTGTAGCATCATTCAATATTAAATGTTTGAATATAGAAGCAAAAGATTTTAATTTACAATAATACAAAAGTTTAACAGTTTTAGTTGTCTGAAGCATATTTTTGCATCTATAATTTTTGGTAACTTTTTTTGGCAAGTTTGTGGTCTTGATTTGTGTCTGTAGATGTTGACCTGTAAACATCATATATTTCAGACATAACTATGAAAAACCAACACCAATTCAAGCACAAGCTATTCCAGTTATTATGTCTGGACGAGATGTTATTGGAATAGCAAAAACTGGATCTGGCAAAACTGTGGCATTCCTATTACCAATGTTACGTCATATTCTTGATCAGCATCCATTAGAAGCTGAAGATGGACCAATAGGTAAAAAAAAATATATACCTTAACACTAATTAGTGCTGTAAAGTAGTGGGTATCATTATAATTGGAGCATTTGCTGTCAGTTCGTAGGACTGAGGATAAATCACAGTTTTAATCTTTCTGTCACTAGTAATTGTATTAGAAAAATAATGGTTATCAGAGTAATAGATACTACAGTAGTAGTTACATCAAAGTAATGTTAAAGTAGTGGTCAACAGAATGATAAATAGCAGAGTAATGGTTATCAGAGCAGTAAATAGGAGAATAATAGTTACATCAAAGTAAAGTTAAATAAGCAGAGTAATGGTTAACAGAGTTGTAAGTACCAAAGTAATTGCTGTCAAAGAGGTAGGTAACAGAATATTAGTTGAATCAAAGTAATGTTCTGAACAATTAAGATAATGTTTTATTTTTGCATGTGTTTAAATTATATTATTGTTTGTTGAAAATTTTTATATTACAATTGTGTGTCTGATAAGTCATTTTGGATAGAAGGCACTATGTATTAAAGTCATTTGGTAAAAATCTAATGCAAGTAAACTGCATGCATTAATGTCACTTGATAAGAATTTAATGTAAACTTAGGCAATCATGTATTTGGTGAAATCTTATTTAATCAGTTGTTCAGCTTTTGGAAACATTTTTGATTAAGAGTTAAATATATAGCATAGTAAGTGAAGTTTTGGGGAGTCTTATAGTCTCTTTAGTGAGTCAATGAAGCTTTCAGTATCAGAGAAATAAATTGATTATTTACCATAAAAACTGGATAATTAGGCTGTGTCTGGTATTTTTTAGGAAAGTGAAATATTTTGTACAAGTGACTAATAAATTAGTTATCATGAACTGCAACAGCAGTTCATAATAAAGATTGCAAGGAATTACACAAAACCCAAATAGAATGTTCAGGCAAAAGGCATCTCAAATGGTAAAGATTCAGTTCAAACAACACTTTAAAATTGTTACTGTTGACTGCTAAGACTATACACATGTAAAAATGCACAAAAAGAGCACACCAACAAAGCACATTTATTTTTACTGGTATTCCCAATTCCATTTGGCACCACAATTAATTGGTCATTATTATTATTATTCTCTTGCCAGCTTGCAACAAAAACAGCTTAGTATATTGCACCCAAACCTTTTGTAGAATACTAAATAAGGTACTGCAAATGTCGTAGGGGTATTGAAAAGTTGATTTGTTTCTTCTACATTTTAAATAAGCTAAAAAAACATTATAATCCTAATGTAAACAAGGTTATCATTACCCCTTGAAGTTAGCTTAATTACCAATCAATAATAGATGAACATTAGATGACTGTAACATTTAGATACCCAATGCTTCGTACACTATACAATCAGTGTCTTTTAGGAAGCTAACCCCTATATTATGTAAGAAGTGAAGAAGTAAAAAAATCAATACATGTAATATTAAATCTTATGACACACATAAGTAGAATATTTACTTCAACAGACATGAAGTTTTATTTTAAAGCAATGTTTTAGACATTTATGTTTTATTCCAAAACAATTACTTCCTTTAAAATTTAGCTTTATCCTGATGAAAGTTTCTTTTTTCTGCCCATTTAAGCATTGGTATGAATTATACCTCGCTTGCTCCAGTCTTTATACCCCACTATATTGCCTATAGTGATTTCAATCTTGTGACTCTCTCCACTTATGTCAATGCGATCTTTATACCAGATCTGTATATAAGCTCCCCTTTATTACTCCTTATTCACCTTTTCTCACTGGCAGAAATTATGATGATGGTCTTTCTTTTAGACTAGGACATACAGTTCTTCATACACAGAGAAGTAGAGTTTTACATGTGGTCTGATGTTTTTTTTCTCCTGTTGGCTCTAAGGCAATGTTTGCGGGAGATTGGGGGCAAACTGGTGAGAATTTAGGCTATATTTCCAGCACTATTCTTTGCTCAGATAACTAATCATAAGCCTTGGACATACATTCTGCCTCCTGCTCCTTTTTTGCAACTAGTATGCCAAGATTGTAATGTTTTGAGTATTTCTCTTGTAGCTTACAAATCATGTTCTTTATTATTGGGGGAAAATTATTCATCTGGTCCTTCCACCTTCAACAGACATTGCTGTGCATGCGAGGATATTTGCTAATCACTTGAAAGAGGGTTCTGCCATGCCTTGTCCTCCTCATTTATTGGATCAGCATGCCTTGGCTTTCCATTACCTAGAGAACCCTTATTTGGATTCTCAGATATTATATTCTCTTCTTCCTGTTTGGAGATCTAGACAAGATGCCATGGTTTGCCTTAATCAATCTCAGTTTTCTGGAATTCGTCTGTTACTTACAACAGTTTTGCATTTTTTATTGTCTTTGCAACTGTTGTTTGATGCTTATCACAGATCTCCTTGCATAATTTTTGGATGATCTTAGTCATTATTGACTTCTACTTTGGTTAGGTTATCAGCTTTTGCTCTCTCTTTGGTATCTTGTTTGGTTTGTTGTTGGGATCATTTGGAGAGAATGCCTTGCTGTAAGAAGCTTGACTTCTTGCTTCAGCCGTTAGACATCTCAGAGAAGCTCCTTTTCTCAGATAGCTTATTTTTACTGGCATTTCCAATTCCATAGAATCTCTAGTAGATCTCCACTCTTCTCTTTTTACCTTAGCTTCTCAACTGCCCCAAAGGTTTTCAACAGGACATTTTCTTGCATCTCCCAATCGAGTTTCCAGACCTCTAGATTTGACGCCACAATTCATTGGAACACAAGGGCAATTATAACCTTCCCAAAAGGGAATCCTCCTCTAAGATGACTCCAATTGTAATTTTAGGTAGCAGCATGGAGCCAAAAAAAGGGTTTGTAGTTTTAGTAAATAATGTCTACAGTATCCCCAGCCTTATTTTTATATGTTTTTATGATCCCTATTTGCAGGTTTTTAAATTCCCAATTTTTTTAATTATCTTGTTCAAATCAATACAGGAACTTTAATTTTTTAGTTGGACCAGCATAACAATTTGGTATCAGGAGTGGGATTGTTCAACTCATTTATCATGTTTAAAGAAGGAAATACTATCTATAGTAGTTCAACTTGACTATGCTCAAGGAAGAAGCATCAAGTGTGCGGACAGATCATGCTGTTTTATGCTGGCTTCGTAGCCTAAAAGATATGAGGGACTATTAGCCAGGTCATTTGGGAAGCTGGACCAGTACCATTACCAGATTGAATACTGTAAAGTCGGGATTCATGGGGATATAGATAGTCATAGTGGATGGCCTTGTCTAGAAGAGTGCAAGCATTGTGAGAAAAAAAAAAAGATTCAGAGGTGTCGATAAACCTCTGCTTTTAGAAATAGTGATCCAGATATGGAGTTATTCCAAGAACAGAGAAATAATCCCAATATTGAGACTCATTATCCCACATATGTAGTAGTCACCAGAAAGACCAACATGGGAGATGATATTTTACACAAAACCAAATCATCTGGGCTTAGTGGAACATGTTGCACCTACAATCTAGTATACTACAAAGAATATAAGAAAACCAAGCACAAGAGAGTATTGGCAATAAATCATTCCCAAATCAGTGCAAACAGCCATTTTGCCAGAGTCACTTGATAGCATCTCAGGTGGATATCTCAGAATGTCTAAAAAACACTTGGTCAACTTTGGGAAAGGTTTTATTGGAGTGGTATGAAAAGAGATGTTGAGGAATGGTGTTAAGCATGTAAAGTATGTTTTACAAAATTGGGATCATCTAAACCTAGGACAGCAACACTCAAACTGTACCAGACTGAAACAACATTGAAAAGAATAGCAATTTACATTATAGGACCAATGCCAAAAACTGATATTGGAAATAAGTAGATACTAGTAGCTATAGATTATCTTACAAAATGGCCAGAAGCTTATTCAATCCCAAATCAAAAAGCAGCCCCAGTGGCAAAAATGCTGTTTGATCAGCTCTTCACAAGATTTAGTTCATCTATAAATCTTCACTCTAATCAGGAGAGAGACTTTAAATCAGCAGTATTTAATCCTGTCGTCCTGGGTACCCTTTACTGCACATGACACAAGGTTTTAGTGTCTTACATTCAAAATTTTATTAAACTACTTTTTTGTTTATGTTATACCAATTAGAATAGCATGAAATCTTAGCTAATAATCCATATTTTAATAGTATACAAGTTTTAAGTTCTTAATTCTACAAGGAAATATGTATAAAAAGTCCTGAATTTCCAATAGTGTGACCCACGTGACACATTTTGTCTTAGCATGTCATCATCCCTATTTTATCCATCACCCCTTGAAAATGTATGAAATTAAATGTAAATTAATCATTATAAGATCGTTATTGCTCAGACAAACCATAATTTTTATAGTCTTCAATTTTGTTTGGTTACAGAGCCATCAAATAGAAAATTAGATCCCTATTGCCACACCCACCTATCACATCCTCTTTTTTCAGGATTTGTTAGTAATTCTTTCTTACATTTAATTCTATATCATCTAGAACCAATAGAAAGACAAGGTTTTCTGAATGGAAAATTGTCAATTTCTCTGTTAGTACAAGCTTCATTCCCATGGGAAAGATAACGACTAGCTTGGATGAATTTGTAACGGCTCTTGTTGCATATTTAGAAAGACATAAAAAATTGTGATAGTTAGAGGAAGTTGTCTGTTTTTTGCATTTTATTATTCTGTGTTCTTTGGTGCATTATTTAATTAAATAAAAATTATTTAGGGCATTACTACCATTAGTATAAAAAATAGGGCTAAGTGTCATCAACAGTCGACAGCAAAAAAAAGAAAAGACATGGGTAAGTACTTTATTTCATGTTTATTCTTTATCTATTATTATGAAAGTAACTAAAATGTAGAAATAGGGTCTGTTTAGGTTAGTTAAGGCTAGATTAGGTAAAATATATAATAATAATACAAAATAAATGTTTCGTGAAGCGTGCATGCGAGCAGCTCTTGGGCAATGTAATTTGATAGGGTAATGTTAGCTCCACATTCCCCTAGTGATT